GATGTCATCTGTTTGCAAGAAACCCGAATCGGGCGTAATAACTTTCGCAATGCAATCAGGTCTGCCGCTGCCTTTGGTAAGAACCTTATCTTAGGTGACTTGCTCCCGGGACTTTTCCGGTCTGATGGTTCAGGTTCCACGTCACATGGTGGTGTTGCTATGATTGCCCCTTCTCAACTTTCGACCCCTTTCCATAACTCGGATGATTGCTCTGGTCTTTTTGAAGGGGTTTTTCATTCCAAGCGTGTCCAAGCCACCTGGTATCAAATTCTCCCCTCGCTCAAGATCCTTATTTTCAACTTTTATGGCAAATCGGGGGCCTCGGCGTCTCATGACATCCTTCAGTTCAATGACGAACTCCTCCGCGATGTTTTGCAGATTGCTAGTCAATTTGGGGACATTCCTGTCCTGGTTGTTGGTGATTTTCAATTGGCACCGCTCCAATACCCTTCGGTGGCTTCTGCTGTGCACTTTGCCAATTGGTTTGACCCACTTACCAATTACCTGGAGGACGGGTCCCCTGACCGACCCATCACCTATAGCCGTGACTGTGCTTTCACCGCGTTTGGGGAACACTGCTCTTCTATTGATGGCATCCTCATGAATCAAGTCGCTTTCAACTGTCTAAAGACCATTGAGACTGTTGACTGGTCCCAGAAGCAGCACCGCCCTGTCCGGGCCACTTTTGACTGGCAGCCCATTTTCCAGGTTGGGCCCATCCATGTTAAATTCGCTGCCCTTGACACCTCACATGTGGCGAAACCATCATGCCCCGGAGATTATGAATGCCAACAGTCTAAGTGGGATGCGGCCCTGACCTCTCAATTTAACAGTCATGTGCCTGAAGAACTTTGGTTTGACATCAACCAACATGCGGTTTCCGCATTGGTCACCTTAGGTGCAACCTGGGCTAGTGGAGTTCGTAAGCGTGCAGCCCCACCGATTTTTCAATCCAAGCAATATTGTCCGGGCCAAATGCCCTCGGGTGCTGCCACCACTCTCCACCTCTCCTGGTTACATAATGCTAGAGCCAAGGTCTTTGACATCCAAGCCAAAGTCGCCAAACCACACCTTTCGGACAAGGAGTGTGACATTTTGCACAATGCAAGGATTAAGTTGCACAGACTGTTATCACGTCTGAGAGCCCCCTTTCGTTTCCACTCCCAGTGTCGATTGTCGTTAATCACACTGCATGAATGCCATCTCTGGCTCCAGTGTCAGATTGAGAAGTGTGAGCATGACCTCAAGTTCAAGCGCATCAATGCCTGGAAAGACAAGATTCGTGCTTCCGCCAAGTCAACGCGAGCTTACATTTATCACCACCTCAAGAATAAAGCACAAGATCAGCCCAACAACCTCGTCATTGATCAACAAGGGCATATCGTTTATCAACCAAATGATGCCCTGTGCACTATCAACGAGCAATGGGATAGCATTTTTGCTGCCAACATTGGTCATGACGACCCCATCGAGGTCCTCAAAGTGCTTTGGCCTTATCTTTCGAGAGAGAATCATCCTTGGAACCCTCCGCCAATCACGGGTGCTGACATTTTTGCCACCCTTAAGGCTCGTAATGCTCATGCTGCCCCCGGGCTCGATGGCTGGAGAACTACCGAACTCCAAGCTTTCCCCCTCGAAATCTGTGAGCTTGTTGCAGCCTTTTTCCGAAGACTTGAAGCCAATGCTGATCACTCGATCCCACTTGCTTTAACTACAGCCAAGATTGTGATCCTTAATAAACCAGGACCCTCATCCCCACTGAATAAACGGCTCATTACCATCTTGCCACCATTGCTGCTAGCCTACACGGGCTCACGCTTTCGGCAAGCTAAGGACTGGCAAGCTTCTACCATGCCCCCGTCGATCGTGGGGGGAATTGCAGGCAGACATATGACTGCCATCCCTGCCAAACTCAGACTTGAGCTTGATGAAGCTGCCATTGCGGATGAAGCCATTGTTGGGATCAAGCTCGACAAGAGTAAGTGTTTTGATCGCATTATTCCAGCCTTTGTTGCTATCATCTTGCTGGCACTTGGATGCTCCAAAGCTGTCGTCAGCATTTTTGTTAGGCAATACATCGGGCTCCGTAAACATCTTTCGTATAGGGGGTGGACCTCTGGAACACCCACCACGGCTCCGAACGGAGTTGCTCAGGGATGTTCTTTCTCATTGATAGCCATTAACGCCTACATGAGATCGTGGGTTGCCTTCCTCCGTGATGTTCCCCATCTGTCTTGCCGCATCTATATTGATGACATCTACCTTTGGGCAAAAATCCAGTTTGTTGCTCAACTTCGGCTTGCCCTTGAAGTCACTAAGCTTTGGGATTCCTTGGTCGGTCAGAAGCTTAATCAAGATAAATCTGTTGTCTGGGCTTCCAATGGTCCTGCCCGGAAGATTGCCAAAGCTGAGTTCCCTGGGTTTTTAATTCAGGAGACCTTTGATGTTTTGGGTACAAAGATTTACACCTCGCAGCGTATTGCTTTTGACTTTGCTGATGAAAAGGCTCAGAAGATCTGTGGTGATATTCGCAACATTGGAGCCCTGCCACTCCCACGTTCTGTTAAATGTCAGCTTATTGGGTCCAAGGTCATCCCACAGTGCTCCTTTGCCGCCCATATAACCAAAATCCCTAAGGCAACCCTCGACAAGATCCAAGCCGAAATCACGCAAGCGCTCTGGGGTCAACGACCGCACTGGAGAGCCAAACACCTTGTTTTAGGTCTGCTTACGCAGCCTCACAGGAATGACCCTTTTGTAGCCCGTTCCTTTTGTGCCATCTTAGACTTTGTCCGTTTTCTCCAACACGAGTGTGATGTCTTTGATCGCTGCTGTCGTCTTGCACGTCTTCCTAAGGCAGGCAGACACACCCTGGTTGAGAATGTGCAGAATGCGTTTGCCACCTTTGGCCTCTGTCTTGATGACTCATTGTGTATTGGCTTCGGGGAAGACACAAAGATTTCTTTGCGTGAGATCTCTGTACGCGACATCACTCCTGTTCTCAAACATTTTGCAGTGCAGGTACATTATTCGCATCCAGCAAATCTCAATCGTAAAGATTTCTTCAAGCCGGAAGGGTTCATCGATGTTTTTCACACCAAGCTCTATGGTAGACAGGCTGCTGCGCAGACAGCTCATGGTCCGCCTTTGCTCTCTTTCTTCGAAGCTCAGCAGGTTGGCTGTACTATTACCAATGATCGCCGCTTTGCAGCCAACTACTCAGACACCAGTTCTTGTCGTTTCTGCTTACATGAGAAGGAGTCTTTGGTGCACATTTTGGGCTGCTCGGATGCCCACAGACATTTTCAATTTGGACCTCCACATGAGTTTGGCTCCAACTTCCAGCAACTTGGCATTATTGAGCACCCTTGGCCAATAATCTGGCATCGTTTGCGTATTGATCGTGCAGCTGACCTTGTACCGTGTGATTTCGACCACCCTGACGATATTCTTTCTCTATGGACTGATGGCTCTGTTTTCTGGGGCGAATGTTTTCCGCTCACTGCAGCTGGGTTTGCCGTTATACAGGAAGACGGTACCACATTCGCTGCCGGGCCTGTTTCCCACTTGTCCTTGTCCTCGTATTCTGCAGAACTTTGGGCAGTTGTTGTTGCAGCTACCAGGGCAAATTGCTGCCTGTGTATCTACAGTGATTGTCGTGAAGTTGTCACTAAAGTGAACGCTCTTGTTGAGAACCGCCTTATACCAGGGAACTATGTGCACTTGGAGTGGTGGCAGTTTCTTCTGCGACTCATTAACTTCCGGAGCCCTCACAGCTGCAATGATGTTATCAGGATGGTTTGGATCCCGGCACATGTTGATGACCACATACCTGTTTCGATGGTTTCAGCTGACCGAATAGCACAGCTTGGTACTTCGCGCAAACATATTGAACTCAATCGTCAAGCTGGCAGAATTGCCAAGCAGCAGGCCCTCGCACGATGTGCGATAGCACCAGGTGACAAACAATTCTTTCATTCTGCTATTTTGCATCAACAAGAGGTCCTCACGCTCCTCAACAAGCATATTGGCGCTGAATGTTTGGATGATTTTCATTTCGAACCACGGTCGACAAAGCAACAGGAACTTCAAGACCCTCGGAAGTGTTTTCCCGGCTTAGCATGGGAGACGGATGTCAGTGATTTCAACCTCACACTCAATTTCCCTCTGGAACCTCCTCCACCGAAAGTGCTTTTTGGGATCGATGATTGGCACACTGTGTTGGCCTTTTTCCAATCGCTCCATTGGAAAGTTCGAGAGGGAGTTTTGTGCACTTACCAAGAACTTGCTTTTCTGTTTTACAAAAGAGGGTTTCGCCTCCGTCAACGACCTCCTCATTTCCAAGATCTTGTGCTGCAACTTCGGAAGTGCATTGTCACAATCCAGAGGACGCCTTTTGCTCTCCCTGGGGTCCCTACCGTGCTACCAAATGCATTGGGCGAGTTCTTCCACAGGGAGCCATTGTTGGCGCTCTTCCGTTCTTTGCTCAGAATGAGCTCCTGGCTTTTTGTCGCATCCTTGCGGAGGGTGCTGGAAGGTTCGCTGATTCTTGGACCTTCACTTTTGATCATCTCTTGTAGCTGCCCTAATTTGTGCAACTTGTTGTTCAACGATCAGCGTGTCGTGGACAAGACGTGTCACCCCAGGGATTTGACTCGTCAGCGCGTGAACAGAATAGAGCCTAGAGGTCAACCTACCCTGGTTTGGGGCTCCGGGTTGTGATTCACAGCCAAATAGAAGAAAGTATACGGTAGCCACCGGTTGGGCCAAAATTGCAGTCACCGTTGGGGCTTTCAATGGATTCCAGTCAAACCATCTTGAGGCCGCGCATGGTGAAGATTCCAATGAACACAGTGATCAGCACATGAAAGCGGCCGTCAGCACGGTGATATAGGCATTGAACACAGCACATGAAGTCAGCACATGAAAGCACAATCCAACACACTGATACATCCGTGGCCTCTCCCGTCCACGTCCTGCGTTCGCTCAGCCCTTGCGGCCTTGCGGCGATCGCTCAGCCCTAACGGTGGACACACCACCATGGTGCGGCATCTGCGGAGCGCCGAGAGGAGCGCACGGAGCTGGGAAGGGAACGGGTTCTGTGGTGAATTCCCAGCACTTCCGTGTTGACTTCCGTGAACTACCCCACCTGAGCTCCGGCCAGTCGACGAATGATTTGGCTCCTCTATGACTCTATGTCAAGGGAGGTTTTGGGTATTGCTCACCTGGAAGTCATCAAAATGGAAGACTGGACCCTGAGGGGAAGATGGTAAAGCATTTTTGCTGTGTGAACGGATCTGGTAGACTCTGCTCACAAGGGTTGTGAGATGTCGTGCACAAAAGTTGGCGGATCGAGGACAGTTGTTGGTGGATGCTTTTCCCCATCTGTGGTTGTTTCGCTGGAGCAGCTGTGAAACGTGGAACCCTTTCCGAAGAAACATGGAACCGGAGAATTGAATCGACCCCGGCAGTTCGATCATTTCCTCTAGAACCCAGTGGTCTTCAGGTTCCATGTTAATCTGCAGGGTAGTACCCCAGGTAGAGCCCTGGAATCCCTAAGTTCTGCTTCTTAGGATTGCTAGAAGACGGGAGGTACCAACAGTAGATCCACCCCCTTCCCAGCAATGGTCGATGGTCTAGACTGGGTGTTCTTTATCGGCACGGAATATTTACCTACATTGACCCTTCAAATCACCCCAATGTTGTTATTAATGCTCCATATCCATATATGGATTGTCTGGATATAATGATGTATAATTACATGCATATATGAATATATATAAATATATATAATATATATATACAGTATTTGTAATATGTACCTGTCATTACACATCCCTCGACTCAAACCGTCTTACCACGAGGTACCAGCAGATAGAACCTGGATATAACCCTAAACACTCTATAGTACATTTTGCACATCCTCCGGTTTTTCACCAGTTTATCAAGCTGTCCTCACAATTTGTCCCCCTATGGTTGAAAAGCTTTCCTCTCCTCTTCTTTCTGACTCTTCCTCATACAGCCTCTAATACCGTTCCCCCCAAAAAGAATACAACTCACGCTTCGTCCCGTAGGTTTTTCGCTGTGACTTTTCTTGTTCTCCTCCCATCCACCTGCAGCCACCCCTCGCACCGTCCACCCCTCGCCTGGCCATCGCCTGGTCCAGGTCCTCCCAGCTGCGCTGGACCACGCCCAGCAGGTCGAACCACACCGGCGCCTCAGGGCCATCACCTCCGGCGGAGCGAACCCGCACGGGAAGAGGGTGGAAGGATGCGTTCTTTCATGCGTTTTTCGGTAGGCCCAGGAAGGAGGAGTGGGGGGGGTGGTTTCAAGCAGGGTAACAAGAAATCTGACTTAGATTTACTGATATATGTTTGATAATAACTAGTAGTTGTTGTTGGCATGTTTTGGGGGTGGTCTCCAAAGAGAAACTACACCATTGGCACCTTCAGGCTAAACATGAACCTTAACCTGTGCGGATGGCTTTGGATCTCTCTTGACCCATCTTGCAACTTGATGCATACCAGGTCAAAAAGCCATACAGCTATATCCTTCGAGGCAAACACGAGATGTGTAAAAATATTTTTTTTGTACAGTATATGTTCCACAAGTCGAGTCTGCTGTGGCCAAATATGGCCAAATAAATGATCAAGCCCGGACTTTCCTGTTATGGCCAAATACCGACATCTTCTTCCACGCGTTAAAACCATTGGTGGCGATGCCCACCAAACCCGGGACGGCGATCGACTTGAGAGAGGTATGACCTCTGTACACTCGGAGCTCACTGACTCCCGAGCCAGAAACCCCTTCAAACAAAAAGGTTAACCGAAGCTTCCATCTGTTGATATTTAGTGGGGAAACCAACCCATCCGAGAAAAAAACAACAAGGCTATCCATGCTCATCCACTTTTCCTGGGTAGGCTCCAAGGACAAATAGGCTTCCGAACTCGGAGCAATACCCAAACCACGTAACCATACTCAAACACGCCGTGTATCGATACATGGACCCAGGGGTCAACCACCCCAATGTATACCAATATGCCAGTCCCATGGAGTGTCCCGGAATGTGATGTGTTAGCTGTCGTGAGAAAATTGAATGTGCTGCCTTGCACAGCCCCAGTGTTTCGTTCGGTCTACAATTCTGGTCTCTATGGAACCTCTGGTTGCCGGTTACCTATCATATAGATCCACTGGGCAGGGCTGTTTCTGTTCAAAAGCAACACACACTCTTTGTTCTATGGGCTGCTGGGCAATATGTCTTATTTTGCTTTCCAGGATGTTGTGCGCAAACCAAAAAGGTGGGTGTATGTCCACCTGTGTATATAGACGTGCATGTACAACTCGCAAATTTGGGGTACAACCATGTATGATCGGTTGAAGGGGCCTTTCTTGGCGCGAGCCGTCCTAGGGACCTGGCAAGACCTTGCAAACACATGCTTTTATGCACCAAAAAGGCCCAACATAGCGGATCTCTGGGCACTCTGAAGCCACACCCTGAGCTACAGCATGCTGCCAAAATCGGGAGTAACACATTCTACTCAGTACTGGAGGGTGGTAATCCCTCAAGCCAAGCCATCCATTTAAGGGTTCGCACCATAGCTCACTGGCTGGCCCACCTTTGAAAACTTGGAATTCTTGATGTACCGCAGCCCCCACGGACTCCTCCTCCTCAAACGCCGGCGCCGGTGGAGGAATTGAGCCCACGAGTCCCCCGCGAGGTCTTCCGCGGCCACAGGTTGGTCCACAGCTGTGAGGTGTTCGGGGGTCTTCACCGGCTTCAGAAAAACATTGGTTTCCACTGTTGAAGTAGTTTTGGCAGGTTAGCATGGATGTTTGATGATGTTTGTGATATCAAAATCAATCCCTTGGAGAACATCATGGATTCCCTCTACTCCAACAGCAACTAGATCACGAATGGTACCTGCTTTGGAGAGGACATCTATGACGGAGCTGGCAATCTGAAACGAGAGCGATCTTAGAGCGATCTTCCGTTCTGGTCTGGTGTGAGGATCGCCAAAATGGATGGCCAATGATTCACACGGTCAAACATGGGGGTGAATGCAACGATTCCATACATGGATGGTCTGGGCTGGTCTTTAAATACCAGTGAACCATTCCCCACGCCATGCGTATGCTGCAGCGTGCGCTCGGTCGGACTCGGTCGACCCGGCGGTTTACGCCACGGGCCGCTGGGAGAACAGCATGGGCCATCGGTGCGTGGGGGTACGACAAAGCTCCCGAAATCGATGGAAGATGGATGGTTCCGGCCCCTCATCCCCTCCTCGGGCCGAGGTGATGTGCGAAGCTCGGAATTGTCCCCAGGCTCTAGGCAACGCCACGGAGTGTGCAGTACCTATTTGTACCCTTCTTTCAGGCTTGGCCTTAAAGCCATGGCATACGCTTGGTCTGATCACCAGTTGGCTAGATGTTGCATGTGAGGTTGTCGGATGGTTGCTAAGTTCTCAGGCCCAATCCACCCAAGTAAAATCCATTTAGATCTGTCAGGGTCACCCCGTCACCCCTGATTAATTAGATTAACCAAATCAAACAAAAGCCATGGGCCATGGAATATCAAGCAAACCTTGGATGCCAAGTACTCTGCCTCTTCGAGCCAACCCGAGATCTGCCCACCAATCTTGCCCACGCGTCGAGCGTGCCAACGCCGCACACGGCGACACATGGCAAGGGCGTTTCTTCCGCGACGCCTGAAGTGACTGATTGCCGGGAGGGAAAGAACCGACTCAACCGTTGAAACCTCAGATCTATCGATTTACAAGGGCTCCGAGCACTTCCAGAAACTCCACCGTTCAAAGGAGCTGTCTTTACAGTTTTGAGGAGCCTACCTTTTACATGATCCTTTTACACTTGACATGATATATATTCTCCCGCCCTCTCTTTTTTCTTTCTCTCTCTCTCCCTCCCATGGTTCCTTGTACTCTTCTTGGTGTGGACTACATCGCATGGCTTCGTCGCATGGCTTCGACCACTTCTTCACCGGCCACGACGGCGACCCGGCTGGTCACAACGGCCACCCGGCCTGTGCCGCAGCGGATGATCTCCGAGCCGTCAATGAGCTCCTCAACGTCGGAGGCTGGTTGAGGTCGGGGCGGCTACGGCGACATACGGCCTGCCTGTTCCCAGGTGTTCAACAGGTGTTGCAATCCATGTTGGGGGGGTTATGATTTTTATGAATCAAATCAACCTCACTACATCACATGACCATGAACCTCCAGGGCCCAACATCCCTTGAACCGAAACCTCCCTTCCCCAGCGTCGCCCATGCGACCCAAAACGGATCGTGACGATCTACCGGTGCACCGGGGGAACATCACACAATGGTCAACTCCCAGCTTGGACGGCTCGGCAGCTCAGCGTCGTCGGCCATCTGTTCTGCCTCTTGCCGTTCGGGACTCATGACCTGAGGGCCGTTCGGCGTGAACCCGTCGGCGCGCGCTGGCGGACGGCGGGCGGAACGCCATGTCATCTCAAAGCCTGACAGGCTGCTCCCAAACAGATTTTGAGATGGTACATTCCTAGGGCTCCTGGCCCACCTCCTGAGAAGGTCATTGGGGTGGGTGGGTTTGGGGGTCTAACCACCTTCTGAGGATATATGTGGAGCCCTAGGGCATGATCGTGTTTTGCATGGCTTTACGGTAGATGGGGGACCTAACTTGTTGCTTGCTTTTTCACACTTCTTTGTTGCTTGCCTTTTTTCGGCATGTGCCCATCTCTTCTTCTTGAGGAGCGAAGCAGCAATGTTTGCTGTTTGACGCCCTCCAAGTCATTAACATGGCAGTGGGCTGCAGCGAAAAATCCCATCTGGACAACAAACAGCTGACACGTCTCCCAATGCTTTTATGGCTTCCTGTCTTGATCCCCACACAAAATTTACACCCACATATCCACGTCAAAAGCAAGGCAAACAGCTGGTGCTGCCAAACTAGGGGACTGAGTTTTGTCGCACATCTTCTCCTGCAGAAAGTCGAAGTCTGTGTCTGACTCAGTCCTCCTGCATCACCACCTGATAGAAGACCTTTTGCTTTCGAACTGCCCAGTGTGATCGATTCAGCCTCTCCCTCTTGATGCTCTGCAAGGAGGGTCGCACCGGATCGTCCATACTCCCGACTTTATCCTTCAAGCTCTGTGCCAGCGACTCATTCAGGTACAAAAGACTTGCTGGAGTCAAAACCAATATTTTTGCCTCGCTGCTCTGAACACGAACCTTACTTCATGGCCAGGACAGGCAAATGGTGCAACAGTGCAACCCAAACTTGTAAGACCATGTGAAGGCCCAATCCGAGGCTGCGGTTGCACAAGCTCCTTTCACCATTTCCACCTTGACATACAAGACCTTGGGATATCTTGGGGTTATACTTACACTTACACATGACTATACCACAGTAGGCTTGCTGAATCCACAGACTTAAAAAGGATATGATAGGATATGTGTTGGCCCGAATCCAATAGCTCAAGTCTTCCCAAGTGAGTGGCTCAAAACCATGCCCTGGGATTCCAACAACATTGTTTTACGTGGTTTATGGCTCTCCTAAAGAACCACAGCTGATTTGAGACTACAAAGCCAATTGAACAATTCTTTTCATGGTGGAAGCTTGATGGTCAGTCATTCCTTGAAGCTTGCGGCTTAGTCAGCCATTGCCCCAACAGACCGTTTTGCTCGGAACCCGACGAAACGACGAAACAACGCCCGACCCACCACCTCGTCCGAGTCGACGTCCTCCGCTCCGAGTCGCTTCGCAGCTGGATACGTAGGAGCAGTCCTGTTTATCCAACAGAGTCTGCAGTCCAAAGGCCTGCCCAGCATGTAAGAAACACAGCTCAATATCACTGGGAGTTCCACCTAAATATGGCACCATTTGCGTGCGCCGCAAGGATTGGTGCCAGGCACTTCCTCGTCGCGGATTGCCCGGCAACCGCGTGATGAGACGCGAGGGTCGGGGAGTGGCGCTGGAGGAGACGGAGTCCGTCGGCATCAATAATGGCCGCATGCCCAGTTGAAACACTGGCACTTCGCCTGTGGCACGGATTGGCCGATTGGTTGCGAGGAACCAAATAAAAGAAACGAACAAACACAAACATCCCATATAGGCACATATAGGGATCCAAGATGATCCAGTTCTACCTGAATCAGGTACGGTGATGTGTTCGACATTATGCAGGTGCTGTCGGGTCAAGTCGTACCGGATCGAGACCGTGTCGCCCCGTCGTAGCGACGGAACGGAAGAACGGGGAGGCCCCCAGGAAGCCCGCCCGAACGCATCCAAAAAACCGTCCCTGTTCGGCACGCGTTTTCGACAAGAACCCAAGATGTTGCCGCAAACGACGCTCGTCCAAAAGCGGAACAGGCCGCGCCTTTGGATAAGTTGAAGCGACTTAACAGATCTGAACCGATCTTCTTCTCTCGCTTTTTTTTCTTCCACGAGGTCACGCCCAGCGCGGGGCCATGGTGGGGGAGTCGTCCAGAGCCGAGGATTCGAGAGGCATCGTCGTAGGCGGGACCCAGGTTGGCCTCCAAATCCACTGCGGGCACTGAGACACGCACCTGAGACACGCGGAAGGCCCAGGTTTGCCAAACAATTTCCAAGTGTTACCTTCTCCTCACCCAGAATGGCCCCAACCCAACATAACCTAACCACACCACATTGACATGGGAGGGCATTATTGTTGGTGGGGCATGCCGGCTGATCTCAGCCAGAAGCACCACGCAGCGTGGTAGACCCGCCTATTGGAAGATGTTCAACCCCTGAAACTTGAAACCCTGCTGGCTCGGCGTGGTTGGCAAACCGCCCAAGGCACATAGCCTTGAGAGATGAGAAAGCACGCCTGTAAGGCCTGATCAATCTCCATGAAGACATCGTCGTGCCGCAAAGACACCTCCTGAAAATGCAAAAGTAATCAAAAATAGAGGGATCGCCGTCGAGCACATCAACCCTCTCATTGCAATTTGCATATGAACCCAAGTCTAGCTGCCCTGACCTAATAGTTGCAATAGTTGCAAAGTTGCCATCTTACCATTTTGCGACTGGCCACATGTTTCCTTGGTCGAACCAACACACCGAAACAACGAAATTTCGGGCCCCTTTTGCGTTTGCGTCCAAGCATCTGCGGCGGTTCGTTCAACAGCTGCGGTTTTTTCGGGTGTCCAGGGCCAATCATTGCAAGGTCCGGACGGCACATGTCACATACACTCCCGAAAACTAACATAGACCCTGACAATGGCCCCCTGGAAGAGTGTTTTCCTCTACTCAGTGGTTTTCAGGGTCCATGTTAGTCTTCCAGTGTGTATAACTTTTTCCCTAAGCAGTGTGGCAGCACTAGGGGTTCTTGCGGTAGGAGTTAAGGGCCGGTATTGCATCGAGGTGTTGCATCGGGGCGTTTGGCTATTTCATTTCGTTGCTATATGTGCAATGCCTTCATGCCTCTCGGAATCCTCGAAGTGCATTTCGACTGCGCATGCTCGCAAAATCTGGTGGGGCGCGGCGGGTGCTCGTCACGACTGCGCCCTCGTTGTGGTGCCGTGTTGCAGCCAAGGGAAACCTCGTGTTTTGGTGGTCCAAAGTCGACTTTTCATGACAGGTGCAAGGGATCGGAGCGGTTCTATTTCGATGTGTAGATTTCGTGGCAAAGCGCAGCGCTTTGGACATGGTGGTAATCTCGACATGCTCTGATTTCGTGACAGGTGAAGTGAATCGTGACTTTTGAACATGGGCTCGTTTTCAGAAATCGTGGCAGGCGCAGTACTTTGTGGGCCTTGAAGTGAAGTGCAGATTTCGTTCCTACTTTGTGGACCGCCTTGAAGTGCAGATTTCGTGGCAGGCGCAATACTTTGTGGACCTTTCCCAGCTTGAATCCTATTGACCACCATCACCACCCATCACCATCACCACCAATCACCACCAATCACCACCACCACCACCACCATCAGCATCATCATCACCACCATCACCACCATCACCACCACCCCCTTGCGGGGGATCACACTGTGCACCCAAGTGGGACGACACAGCGGCACACACACTTAGTCATAGGGTTTTCAGTTAACTCTGTTCCACGTGGAAAGGAGCGAGGGAACGGCAGGTGTTTGAACAAAGTGGTTTCAATTGCGCAACTGCGGGTTCTAGTTACTGAATACGTAGCCGATCGAACTAGCATGAAGGAAACCCGTTTTGGGGTATAGCGTGAACCACCATGAAAGCAAACCGGAGGAACATTGGAGTCACAACTTGCGATCAGTGCCTGATCAGACTCCGTTTCCCCCTCCTGTCCACAGCTTCATTGCGTGTGCTCAGGACAAGAGGGCCACACGCCCCTGCTTCTTTCTGGTAAAACAAACTCCTGGATACGGAGCAGGACACACACACACACTGTTTGGGGTCCCTTGCTGGGATAAGTCTTTTTCAAAAGGTCCTCAACAAGTTCGGGGACTCTGGCCGGCCGGCCCAAGCCGCCGGCTGGAGCGGCTGGATGTTTCTGTGCAGCCAGGACATTCTGCACAGAAAGCGGCTAATGCATGTTTTTTCCACTGGGAGAAAACGTTTGGAACAAATATACATGTCCTCCCATGTGTGTTCTCTAGACCTCCAGCCCTAGATCTCTAGACATCTTTCTCCAGATCTGGACCCAGACCTTCAATTCCAAAACCTAGTTTGTGAAACCACCATCACTCTCAGGACCATCCCCATCACCACCATCATCACCGCCATCAACACCATCACCACCACCACCATCACCGCCACAATCACCGCCGTCATCTCCACCACCATCACCATCACCACCATCACCACCGTCACTGTCACCGTCACCACCATCACCATCAACACCACCTTCACAACCACCACCATCATCACCACCAGTGTCACCACCATCACCACCATCACCACCATCACCACCGCCATCCACCATCATCACCACCATCAACACCACCTCAACTACCATCATTACCACCACCACGGTATTTATACATGCACTGGAGACCTGTGACCTGACCTCGTCACACCTCAAGCCACTGATCTTGACGGGTGTTGCTCTTCAAAGCACATGTCACATGTCCAACACTCCAAACATCATGTGACCCAAAAAGGGTAGGTCTGCTACACACACAAACCCACCCTCATGGCTTTCTTTCACGTAGGGTTGGTGTGTATCGAAGAGCGGCAAAGAACATATTTTTGTACTTTAGTGTGTTGTGCTTTTACCTTTCAACATGTTCCGGTCGCTCCTGAAGGTTGGTCGCCAGCAGCACCAAGGTGCTCGCGGCAGCCCCTTGAAACAGCGGTGACTTCAACAAAGCCTGAACCTTTCGTCGAACCTCTGGCAGCAAGGCTCCTTCCTCCTCGTCATTGCCTTCGGTGTTCCCCCCAGTTTGATTTGGCCCGTTGGTCTTGGTATCCAAGCCCAGGG